AGCGTTTGCACGCGCAGTCACGAATGTGGTTTGTTGGTACTGGCGCCATGCGCTCGCTCGTGGGGGTTCTGGGGGTCTACCCTACGCAAAATTAAAAAAAAATCGTTAAATAGATGTTAAAATTGTTACAGGAGCAATTTTCCACAACGCGATGTAAAATTTGGACAAATGACGGTGTCTCACTGTGGGGCCTCGTTGAATCGTAATAAAAACCCTGTATAGTTATAAGTATATATATAATATATAGTATATATATTAATAATATCTAATATATATTTGAGTTCGTTGTATGTATGTATGTATGTATGTATGTATGTATCTTCTTCCCCCCTATAGGCCGGTCCAAACCGCGCCAACGGCGATCTGGATGGCAATTTCAGCAGGCCATCTCTATACCGCGGGGCAGTACGTGTGTCCTAAGGCTGAAAAAAAACACTCCAAACCGTCAAACTCACCGAAAAATCCTGAAAAACCCGTCAATTCGTGATCTTTACTACAATGTCCCAGATACTGACTGTACCGTGCTCCACACAGAGAGAAAGATCAGATCCGCTCTCCTCATCCGGCTGCTCGTTATTGGTGAAACCGAACCAATTGCTAAAGACACACAGAGCAACCAGCACCGTTTCACACAGTTCAGAGGTACTATCTCTCACACAGGCTCAGGTGTTTTCAGTTAAGATGCTGACGATCTACAAGTGCCATTGTACCATTCAGAGCTATGCAGTTTCTGATTCAGTACGAAAATTTCTATCATTTAAATGTGATGTTGCGTGTGCTCTATCTATACTAATGAGCAGCTAATAATGACAAATTTCTCCAATTATATAGCTCCTGCTACTTATATTCCATTATTAATTTATGCTAACGATCGTCACAATGGATAGCCTGTAAAAAAAACTGTCCACCCGTCAAAACTCAACCGAAAAATCGGAAAAGACCCCACAGTCAATTCGTGATACTTTACACCATGTCAGCACTGGACGTGTAAAACAAGATGCTGCCACCCACAGAAGAAAAGATCGAGTGGCACCTGCATTCCATTCAGCTGCTGGTATTTGAAACCGAAACCCGAGCACCGAGCCTAAAACAGAGGCACAGCCAGTTCAGAGGTTTACGACGCAAATGTATTATCAACAGGCTTTGAAACTGAGAAGCGCAACGGCCATTCGTACTATGCTGTACGTGCCATAGCGTAATGCCGTACGTGGGGAGCTCATCAGTTCAGACTGGTTGCCAGGAGTCTTTAATATTTCCACCAGACGAATAAACGAAAAACAGTTGTTTATCAGAGGTTTTCAATGAAAAAGTGCAACCCAGTTCGTACAATGCTGTTATGAATAACTTTTTTGTCAATTTACAACGCATATTACTAATTTATGTTTCGCAGGGGTTCTAAGATTTGGCGTGTGTGCTGTCATATAAATGTCATACCGTAAAGCAAGTTTGTTCCCATGCGCTTATGATACTTATAGCACTGAATTTCTAAATATTCATATTGTGTGCAATGTTATTGTTCGATTTTTAGCGCAATGTTCCTATTGTGTCCCATTATTAGTATATGATAATGTAGGCAGGCGATTTACCCAAAATTAGCACAAGATTTACCCAGCGCCAGCGGGTACCCGCAGCTAAAGTATATATATATACTAGCTGCGGGTACCCGCTGCCTGCGGTAAAATCGTGCTACTCATTCCATAGTACTAATAATGGGACAGAATATGAACATTGAGTAAAAAACGACAATAACATGCAGACAATATGATAATTATTTAGAAATGAGTTTAATAAGATAATAGCATGACAAAACGAAAAAAACTGTTAGCGTATGACATTGTAATATGACAGCAGCAACCCGAACTTAGAACCTCTGGACATAATAGTAATATGGTGTAGAATGACAAAAAGTTATTATAACAGCATGTAGGAATGGCGTTAGACTTTTCATCTTGAAAGCCTCGTGATAAAAATGTTTTTCCGTCCTGGTGGCAAATATGTAGAGAATTCCTGGCGTCTCCAATCTGAGCTCCCCACGTACAAGCTATCCATTGTGAAGATGCGTAGAGTAAATAAAAGGAGTATAGTATCAGAGCTAATAATGAGAAATGTTTTTGTCATCATTAGCTGCTCTAGATATGATAGAGACACGCACATGCAGCATTGAAATGAAGAAATTTCCTAGCTGAATCAGAAACTGCCATAGCTTCGAATGTACATGCTTCTGAGATCGTAGGCATCTTGGAACTGAACCTCTGAGCTGAGTGAGAAGTACCTCTGAAGTGGTGAAACTGGGTGCTGGTTGTGTGTGTTTTAGTTTTGTTTCGGTTTCACAATACCAGCAGCCGGATGAGGTGAGGAAATGAATTTTTCTGTGTGGTGGCAGGCACTGTAACAGTCAGTGGCCTGACATTGTGTGATGTTTCACGGAATTGACGGGTTTTTTCACGGGATTGTTTCGGTGAGTTTGACGTTTGCAGCAGGTTTTTTTCATCAGGAAGCATCTCGGGTATGAAGAGATTGGCCCTGTGAAAATTGGCCGATCCAGGATCGCTTGGCGATTAGTTAGGACGCGCCTATAGAGAAGATACATACATACATACATACATACGAACTCAAATATAATATAGATATATAAATACAACCTAACACAAGAGTAGGGTGTTGGGTTACATTATTGTATATATAATAAAGTAATTATATATATAA